AATCAAATTCTAGCCTACCTCACTCAAGTTTTGAAAATAGTATATTTTGTGACGCATTTTTTGACCGATACTATTAGTTCTTTTTTTTAGTATTAGACTATTATTTTTTGTTCTCCTTGTAGAAAAAAAAAAAATCTAGTCTAACCCATTCAATCAGTAGTTTAACTGATTCTGAGTAGACTAAACCCATTGCCTGTGGTGTCGCCGGTCCATCCTAATACCTCCTCTTTAGAGGCGCCTCCGTTCTCTTTCCAAAATAGTTGATTAGGCCCCCTGCTCTATAATGTTGTAACACTAGCCACTGTTATAACGGTTGTCAATATTATATACGTACGGAAAATGGTGGGTATGGTCCTGGTTCAGAAGCCATAATAAAGGTAGCCATTAACATATAAAGGCCACTTTATTGATGCATGAAATATAACGCTTCGAGTTTTTAGTAATTAAATAATAGAATAATATATAAAGAGACCATTTATTTTTAGTACAATGGGGTTATAATCCTTTATCAAATTTTAAATCAAATGGTTGTAAATGTGTTTTTGACTAAACTCAAAGTTCAAAACAAAATTTCTCAATATCTAATGACTAGAAGTGATTGTGACATTTTTATTACAATGGTAAACAGTTCCACAATATACAATTCTTTAAATAAAACCCCAACAGGAATAATTTCATAAATACATTTTTTGGACGAGGTTTCGAAGTGAGGTAGTACTATTTTTTCATAAGCCTAAGCTTTATAGAAATTGCGTCCTAAAAAAAAGATATTCCATGCATACAGTGGATGTACGCTCTAAACAATCAAAATAATTTTATTAAAGGAAGGTGCAGTTTGTATAGAGTCTAGGCTCTAAATAATCAAATTAGAGCCTACCTTCAAATAATAGCAAGAAATATGGTTTCAATACTGGAAATCTTTGTGATAGCCTTAAAATATATTTTCATCTTTATTTATAAAGCTTAAAACTTCAAAAATAGTGTAGATCGAGTAGATCTATGAAAACTTTAAAATCTTGAAAATTGACGGTCCAAAAATGCATTACAAGATGCACTATTTCTAAAACTTGAAATCCATTGTTTTTCTCACATTCATGCATCTTCATGTCGAGACGATCAATTTGAGGATATTTGGGCATCAAAATAACCTCTTCTAATGAAAGTTTTGAGGTAGACTCGAATTTGATTGTTTAGAGCCTCAGGTCTATATAAACTTTTTCCTTTACTAAATGATGTAGTTGGCATTAGAAACTTTTATGATAGCCTGAAATTTTATTTTCACTCCAAATTATGAAAATTTTATAGCTCAAAAATGGCACAAATCGAGCATATCTATGAATACTTGGAAATCTTGGGAAATAGATGGTCCAGATATTATGTTGCAAGATGTATAATTTGCGGCCTTTGAAATCTTTATTTTACTCAAAATCATATATAAGGAGCACAAAATGATCAATTTAGGTTTTTTTTCATTAATTATATATATATATATATATATATATATATGATCATATAGGACCCTTTCCACTCATGTGTGCAGGACTTCAAAAGATCACCATTAAATTTGGCACGGATCTATGATCCTATAGGACCCGTCCCACTCATGTGTGCAGGACTTCAAAAGATCACTATTAAATTTGGCACGGATCTATAGAAAAGTCAAGTCCCACACCCAACCCATGTGTGTAAGACTTAAAAGGATCACCATTAAATTTGGCACGGATCTATAGAAAAATCAAGTCTCACACCCATGTGATAATTTTTCTAGAGATCCATGCCAACTTTAATGGCGATCCTTTGGGGTCCTACACCATAAGTAGGAGAGGGACCTATAGAATTATTATATATATATATATATATATATTACTTTTTTAATAAAAAATAATAATTGTTTTGATAAATACACTCATCACAACCCCTTCTAACTTGAACTTTTGTATTTTAAAGGGTTGTTAACTCTAGACAAACCCTGTATATATAT